TTGGGTGCTTTCCTCAATGTGTGTCCTATCCACTTCCAGTGCTTCTTCCTGATTTCTTAAAACACTGGAATCTGGTTTGTTCTCTCCCACATCTTAGATATAAGATTGGTGAAATATTTGGTTAACTCTAATTCGCATTTATACTGATCAATATAAGCTGTATCATTAACTTCTTTTTATACTGAATGCAACGGATAAGGTAGTACTCACAATTTCATTGTTTTTTTTTTAATATTTTGGCAATATCAGAAAGAATAGTTCAGGTAATGATAGTCTATTGAGTGACAATTTAACATTCAAAGAGACAGTTACTGAGTTCTATTTTCAATTTGGACAGTGAGAAATAGCAACGCATTTCCACTTCTCTTTTACATTCTGTGTTTTCCTCATTTATACTTGGAACTACAAAGCAAAAATTATTATATAAACTGTAGAATAGTGTAGGTCAATGGTTTTGAAAATCATTTCGAATTTCCTACAGACTTGAAGTAGACGTCTATTTGTTTCATGAACGTCGCAGTTGATCGCTGATGAAAACTATTTCTAAATAACTTGTTATTTAACCACCAAAGAACACTGCTGATCATTATCAAACTTTACTACATATTCATGACATCTAATTAATTAGTTTGTAAAATTGTGAATGGTTATTTACACTAACATTATTAGAGAGGAGAGACAACGTATGTTGAAGCATAACTTTACAAACATGACAAGCGATGGGACATATATTTCGTATAACCGTTTTTGCAAGACCTAGAACTAAACATTAGGAGTTGATATTGTGGTGGTTCTTTATCTAGTGGGGTTACTAAATAGAACCACTAGAGCATGGTCACTGAAGATATACAGTGAACAAAACAATACAAGAGGTATCTCTTAAACGTAAACTATAATTAATATCGCTAGACACTTTCTGTCTTCCAGTCATCAACAAACTTATTAACATGAAAGGGGAACAGCTCATACATGGAAACAAATATAATGTTGTCTTACTTATTGTTATAACGCTCGGTTTTACTTCGTCTAATGTTATAACGGTTGTGTTTCCACGTTTACATGTATGGGACGTTAATTTACCTTAGACGAATATCTACATTAGATCCCCCTCCAAGTGTCTATTCTACAGGACTTCAACACAACATAGATGACCAAAAACACGTGATTAGCCTGACTACAATGTAAATATATTTCCACACTAAAAACCCGACACAATTCAACAAAAATGAACAATCAATAGTGAGTGAGAAATAATAATAAGGATAAGGGAAGATATAACTCGTCCGACACCTGTCAGACTGTCTACATATCTGACTAAGCAGACAATCAATCATTATCGCCCACACATCACTTATCTGACCAAAGAGGATCTCTTGGAATTTTCACTACTACCCGATTCCGGATTTTTAATTTTCGAAAACAACTTTACAGTAGCATTAGTTATATCTGTGTTCTCTTTACAGTGATATGCTCAAAGTCACTTACTCGGTTTATAAATGATTATCAAATATTTATTAAGCAGATTAGTTTGAATATACTTCTTCATTATTACACCGTTGTCTCAGGTATGCGACTGATTTTGAAGTGCTGCATTTATTTTATTTTAATGATACTACTTAAATCAATTATACGTAGTTTAGTCCATTAACTGAAAAATTCCCACATTGTGACTCAGTAGAACATGAATAAGCGACCAATATTGTGAAGAGTTTTTCAGGAAGGCCATTCACTGAGAAACACTATAAATCACTCCTGAATTTTCAATTAAAGTATAAATTAATAGTTATTCGTACGGGTTTCTGGTGATTAGTTGAGAGTTTTAAAGATATTTTATCATGCGTCAATTTATTTATTTGAACACATGAATATTTGATATCAGATGGGTTTTGTGGATATTATAGTAAATTCAATGGTTAAGATCATGAGTCAGTTGAAGTTAGACCACCAGTGCTTACAGGTTTTCCATGATGGTCTTGCTTCAACTGACTCATAAATATTTGTAGAAAGGGACACCAAGTAGATATGCACCACACAAGTCACATGATTTGTTTGTGGGTTGTGTCACTGTCCGGGTGCCCAAACCGAAGCAGATGGTTTCCATAGACTGCCACGCCCGGAGCTTTTGACTTAAATGTCTGTTCCACAAGGCAGTGGAGAATCATAAGGAGATGGACTCTCATGGTAGCCGGTGATCACCAATTGGTTCATACGCCAATTGTTCCATTATTATCTTGGAGCCCATGTGGACCATTGGTTCGGAATCAGGGTTTTCCAACTCCGCTAGGTGAACTCTCCGTGTCCACCAACCTGGTTAAAGCGCCGGACATTCGCTTTTCGTCTTCTCAATTCCGTAATCAACAGTAATTCCACGAGAAGGGAGTGGGTAGGAACTCCTTTGCAGTGGCTGTATATTCATGGTCATGTGAGAGCACTTTGAGAAGGAGAACTGACTCTTCCCACCCTCGGCCGTACCAAGGCACTAGGCATCTATTAAATATCATTTAAAAAACCAATGAGTAATTCGAATACGTAACTTCACTCTCAAATGAAATTTGCCCTGAGATTTAATTCTAATTAGATGATTAATATATGCACCACAAAACCCACTACAAATGATCTTCATATTTAAATCTAATCATGTTATATCCGTGGGAACTAATTTCATTGGATGGACATGAAATAGAAAATCGAGGAATCACCATAAGATTATAGAACGTTACCTTTAGAAGTTACTGAATAGAAGTTAGCAATGTAATGGAGGTGATGCTAGATTAGAGTTATAATTACACTTAATAATTTCAACAGATACTATTCATCAGCAGCATGCATCGTAGATATTTCGTATTAATAATCAAGTTATATTCCAGGTATATCAATAACTAGCTTTATAACCAGTACTTTCTTAAAAATAATTCCTTACCCTTTGTACTAGTCTTATTTTCATGAGTATTTTGTTTAAGCGACCAATGTAATAAATACTACAGCCGTTAGCATAAATAAAGCATTCGATTTGGTGAAAATTTCAACCAACTAAATAATGTTTGACTAGACTTTAGTGATGGACTCGTCTAAAGTCGTTGATTAATTCAGTGGTTTCGGTATTCGGCCTTTTAAATACGAATGACCCGTACAAGCCCCTCAGTATTGACGCACAGAAAACCCTGGTAGTAAGAAATAGTTTGGAAATGCCGGATGTAATTCATAAGTTCTAGTTGAAATGATAATCGCCAGTTGAAAATATTCAACTGGGACTTCAAAAGAGCACTGACAGCCAGTATATTATTCATGGAATTCTGAAGTTATGAGGACTTTCACCTTATATTTTAAGGTCAGTGCTATTGGATGCTTTCTACTTGTTCTTTCGTATTATATTTGCTATTCGATTATTGCTGGAGATACTAAAGCCTCAATTACTATGTTTAAGAATGTTTTGAAACTCACACACTGACTTGAATGGAGTTTCGTTAATCGTCAATATATTTACACTTGGATCAATGCACCAAGTTATTTTATATTCAGTGCGTCCTCACTGAATTAATCCACTGTGACTTTGTGTTGCTCACTCAGATAGGAATGTAATTAATGTTCAATCAATAATCGTCACATAATTACATTGACTCGAATATAAATTAATTCGACTGGAATATTAATCAGTACATCATCCTTACAAGGTTTGTTTCTCTTCTAGTGGTGTGAAGGATTATCACTGAAGTGTTGTGCACTAATCGTCGTCTATCTAGTTCACATAGATCCAAATATTTCCTAATTCAGAAATACAAAATCGATCCACAACGAATACTCGACTGTTATAGGTATTCACTTATTTCGTCTCTTATCGTTTACATCTTTGACTTCCTCAATCGTTGCTATGATTCGAGGAATGTCGATTTTGACTAACACATATTTGCATCAGTCTTCACGATGTCTATGACTAAGACCTGATTGACTGTTAAATTACGTAAACCAGTTCGTATCGACTCATCCTTATATGACCCAAATAAGTTCTAAGAGATATCTTCATTTCGCAACATAAATGACTGTGAAGTACTTACATGCCCTCTCACATTTGTTTAGACCTAGTGAGCTTTTACTTTAAAAATCTATGAGTGACACAATCCGGTCGCCTAAACCGGAGTAGAGTGGGTTTCAAACATGGGACTTAGTGAGTGAATATTTAACTCCTTAACCACTCAGCCACTGCCCTCCAACCACCGATTAATTAGGAGAGCTACCAAGTCATATACAGTTCCCTTTCAATCATATTTAAAACAATGAAAAACTTATTACATGAATATGGAAAATTCAACTTATTAGTTACTCAGTAATTGGGTTGACAAGCAAAGTATAACAACATATATGTTTTACAACAACAGTTTAGAGTTGTCAACTTCTCTGCAAGAATAGAATGATAGTATACTGATTACTAATAGAGACTACGATAATAGCTAACAAAACTAAATTTGATGGAGAGAAAAACACTCCTTAATAGTATGGTAGGGATTGTACCTAAGGGAGACTTTAATTATTGGATTCATTTATCTGAAGTTTATTTAAGAACTTTTAATTGTCTTTTTAAGCATCGCTATCATATAATGTTTTAACATTTCAATTAATATTGGGTTTAAGTAACGGCAAGTATGGACTCATGTGTTATGTATATATATGAGATGTTTTTAGCATCATAGTACGACTCTTGAAAACCGGTAGGAAGTCGTGGTAAAACCACTGGATAAATAATTACGATGTAGAAGATAGTGCTCTATTACAATAGGTTGTATTACACCAATATAATATCACTAAAAAAGATCATCCTATTACTTTAGAAACTGAGTTGAGAGAAAATTTCCCGATACTGAATGTTGCAACTGCCGGATTTAAAATGTTGTATTGTTAAAACAACAAACCTGAAGAAGACAAATTTAGTGATCAAACATGACGAAGTCTAAAGTGATGCCAGGAACTTATACATTTATAAAGTTATAACAGTCAAAACCAGTTGATACAGTATTAAAGCTTTATTAAGTGCCAAAGTCCACGAAACAGATCGGGTTAAATAATCAGCTATCACAATGTTATCTTGTGGCAACACAAATTCAAAGCAAACTAACTACAAACATATACTTCACGTTAGTTAAAAATTCTAAGACATTTGTAATGAAACGTTGCTTGGCGAAAAACAGAGCGAACTACACTATTTACAAAGTCACAACTGAAAGTGCTTCGAAACACATCTCAATCCAGTTTTCTGGGGGGTGGCGGCGACTGAATATTTAAGGATGACCTGAAATCTTCCAAGTTATCTTCCCAATGTTCCTCAAAGTAAACACACATTAGAAAACGAGATTCTCTGCCAGTATGAATTGCGTACTCTAGATGGCTTTCTACGAACCGCTCTGTTTGTCTGATATAAACAAAAAAAGGATATTTAAAATGTATCCGGGTAAATAACCTAAACGACACAAACAAGTGGCAAAATTTATTTATGTATTATTGATAGAAAGTACTAACTTGGGTGCGAGACGCAGAGAACCAAAGTAACCACCAGTTAAACACATAGGGAGAAGAGTTTGTATACCTTCAACCCATTTAACAACGACTTCACCAAGCATGTCAGTAGGTTGACCAAGCAAAGTATGAACCAAATCATGTATTTCCCGGTACCGAAGCATGACGTAAGCCAAATCTTGGTCAACCTACAAATTTAACATAGTGTCTTTCATCAGGTGAATAACCCTGAGGCTATGATCAATCAAAATTTAAAGCCTACGTATTTATCCAGAAACTTCGTATACGCTTTCCCAAACGTACCCTCAGGCAGCTTACGAAGGCTATCTAAATCAACTGTGTTAGTACGAATAGTTGGTCGGTCACTAAAAGTCAATAAAGGAGCAATGTATACCGTAATATGCGACAACCATCAGGATGATTCAGCATTCTATTGAATATTTGGCGCAAGGCGAGTTCCCCACTAGTCTCTCCAAATGTGCTGAGCAGATCTGAAGGATAGAAGACGAAAGAGTCAGTTACCAGCTCTTCTTGGGTTAATCAGACAGCCAATCCCACTCCCAAGACTCAGGAGACATTTTTGTAAGAAACTGGTTTTGATGTGTCCAGGATAATTTTCAACATCACCAAATTTTTCGTGAGCTACAACACCTACTGAAATCTAGGAATATATTTTTTGTAGAAAAAACTAACTTTCAGTATGCTGTGAACGAAGAAAATAACGACTTGCTGATAAAGCTCTTCTGAATGACAGGCTCATCAGCGACCTTCACAGTTGAAATATCGTACAAATCTTCAAACACCAAAACTTGATACCTCTCTTTACTGTATTAATGAACCATTAACCTATGAAAATCTATGTCTGGGTAACAGAACACAATAATTGGCTGTGGCAAAGGCTGAGTTTTACCTCGAAATTACGGGAAGCCTAATCAGTTTCAGTTTCAGTTTCAGTTTGGGAAGGACAGGAGGCTAGATGGCCTATGTTAGTCCTGGCAATGGTGGTCTCTCAGTTGATCCAACTTTCTTTTGAAAGAGTCGACGGATGGAGCCTCAACCACGTGCTGAGGTAGTGAATTCCACTCGTTGATGATTCGATGGGAAAGTCGATAGTCAGCTGACAAGTAATTTGTTCTCGGCTTATGAACTTTTTTGGAGTGTCCTCGTAAATTCTCTGTTTTGGAAGACAAGAAAAATGAGGGCATGTTAGGTGCAAATTTATCACTAAGCAATTTGTAGACTGTAATCAAGTCGCCTCTAGTTCTGCGATATGACAACGGGAAAAGGTTCAGCTTGGCCAGTCGAGATTCATACGGAAGCTTCGCTATTCCGGGAATCAGCTTAGTCGCCGTTCTCTGAACCTTTTCCAGAAGCTCACTGTCTTTTTTAAGCAGGGGCTAGCCGCTTGTATGCAGTACTCAAGTTTAGGACGTACGAACACTGTATACAAAGTCAAAAACGTCTTAGCGTCGACATGACTAAAAGCCCTACGTATTGACCATAAGGTTCTAAAACCTTTGGCGGCTATTGCACGGCAGTGTGCAGTAGTCTTTAAGTCTTGACTAACGATAACTCCTAAGTCATTATATGTCTGGACGACAGGTAGCTCAGTGTTATTCATCGTGTATGTATCTGTGCCTTGATGACCGATATGCATCACAACACACTTGGAAGTATTTATCGGCAACTGCCATGTTTGAGACCATTCAGATAACTTCTTCAGGTCATTTTGAAGTTCTAAGCTATCACTCTTACATCGTATCGTTCTCCATATCTTGACATCGTCAGCATATAGCAAGACCGATGATGATAGGAGACAAGGAAGGTCATTTACATACAAGAGGAATAGCACTGGCCCCAAAACTGTACCCTGGGGCACTCCACTAAGCACAGTTTCCCAGCTAGATAACTTTGAGTTCACCCGAACTCTTTGTTGACGCCCAACTAAGAAGTCTTTTATCCACATCAATAAATTGCCTCCAATCCCGACTTTTCTTAACTTATATAACAGCCGGTTGTGCGGAACTTTATCAAAAGCTTTACTGAAATCAATGAAGGCGACGTCTACAGGTAGCTTTTGGTCCTTAAGAGCGCACCAGCTTTCACGAGCCACTAATAAGTTAGTGAGACAAGAATAACCTATTCTGAAGCCGTGCTGCTTCTCCGAGAGGATCCGGTTTTTATCGAGATACTTAAACAGCTCTTCCCTAATAATCTTTTCTAATATTTTAACAACCACACTAGTTAGGCTAACGGGGCGGTAGTTTTCAGGTTTGTGTTTCGTACCTGTTTTGAAGACAGGACTTACTATGGCGTTTTTCCAATCTTTCGGTAAGCGACCCTGCGTAACGGATAGGTTAAAGCATGTACTTAAAGGGTCGCAACGAAGTTAGATAATTCCTTCAGTAGCCTAGGATGTAATTCATCGGGCCCCGTGGATTTACCTATGTCAAGCTTATTAGCAGACCAAAGACATCGAGTTCTTTAATGGTCACGCTATCCAGTGTATGTATGGGGGGATCTGTATACGCTGACGAGAAGGGCGTGGTCACTTTTACCTAAGAGTGGCATATGATGGAGGTTTGCAACATCATCCTCATAGTGAGTCAGTATAAGATCTAATAAGGATGATTCAGTGTCCGGATCGTACCTTGTCGCTTCTTTCACATGTTGCACTAGAGCACATGTGATAACCCCATCAACTAGTTCCTGCTCGAAAGAATTCCCCGACGATTTAGTTCGCAGATTTTCCCAGTCTACCATAGGTGCATTAAAGTCCCCTAGGATTAGACATCGACCACTTTGGGACCAAGTATTGAGACTGCTTAACAGGATCTCATTTGCCTCCTGAATCGATATGGCTTACTGTGCACACTCATGAGTGTAAAATACTAATCGGATGCATATATCGAGCTCCTAACACTCTTAGTTCAACTGACACTATTATAAGTGAGTCATTTGCTTAGGCTGCCTCGCTTGACTTCACTTACAAAATTGTATGTGGTGATTTCAACCTTCCCACCATCAACTGGAAAACACATTCTGGCCCATTGTGCTTTGAAAGCATACTTAGGTCCTTAGACATACACGGCTGGCAACAACATGCACACCTGCCTACACGAAATCACAACATTCTTGACTTGATATTCTGTCATAATGTCACACCAACATCAATGGTGGTTGGCGAAAAGTTTCACAACAGCGATCATAAAATAGTCCTCTGCACCCTTCCGATTCTTGCCATATGCAACAAATTAAAGACATTAAACACGCGATTCCAATATAGAGACTATGCAAACGCTGACTGGGAAAACTTTCGATTTCTAATAAAGCACTCTGACTGGGGCAGTTTCTTTACCAGTAATAACCTCTTAGAAACATTAGAAATATTCAATATCACCACCAAATCTGCACTAGACACTACTATACCCTCTAAAATTGGTTTTAAAACAGTTACTCCCTATATAAACCAAAAGACTAGGTCTAAACTGAGAAAACTGAAAAGGATGTACTATATATCAAAAGACTTCAGTGCCCTGCACCAGATATACTCTGTACTTGACGGAGTACAAAGTCAACACAACAAGCATAAACAGGTAGAGGAACGTACTGCGCTCGCTGCTGCATCTAAAGCCCAAGCCCTATGTCGTCTCCTCACGAAACGCATAAGAAAGAACACAGACCACAACATTCACTCCTTACTGCACGATGGAGTAACGTATAATGACCAAACCGTCATATGTGAACTATTAAGTGAATGGTTTTCTCACAATGGGAATACATCTGATGCTCCAGATATCGACATAAAGTGCACCGGCAAAAACTATCTTAGTACCATAAACTTCGACATTAGGAGTATACATACCGCCATTAAAACCCTTAAGCCAAATGCGAGTTCTGGTGCCGATGACATCCCTTCAATCGTTTATAAAATGTCAGGGCCGGACATACAGACGCTACTACTCAAAATATACACATTATCTTTAGAGACAGGTACATATCCGGAAACCTGGAAGGTAACGTATGTTCTTCCCAAACACAAATCCGGACCGAGAAACCTGGTTGAGAACTACAGACCTATAAATATCACTCCAGTCATATCACGCATAATGGAAAAAGTGATACAAAATCAACTATCTGATCACCTACTCAAGGAAGATCTAATAGACCCGTCACAACACGGCTTCATTAGAACAAGGTCGTGCAGTACATGCCTGATAGACTTCTTTAACGAGGTTACTCGTATACGTGACCAGAAGAAACTAGTTATTATACTATACTTCGATATTAAGAAAGCCTTTGATAAAGTACCTCATAATCTTCTAATCAATAGACTGAAGTCAGTTGGAATTATTAATCCCCTTTTGCAATGGATCAAGTCTTTTCTTACGAACAGATATCAAATAACCAAGATTAACTCTAAAACATCTACACCTCGACCAATAACCAGTGGTGTTGTGCAGGGTAGTGTCTTGGGTCCATTGCTCTTTATAATCTACATCAACAATATATGCAAGTGTTTTAGCACAGGTAAGACCTACCTCTATGCCGATGACTTAAAAGTCATCTATAAAACTGACATTTGCGATTTACGCAGTACTATGCAAACAATCCAACATGAACTCAACATGGTAGATGACTGTTGCAAACGATGGAGGTTAGAGCTCAACATAGAGAAATGCGGCTGGTTATGTTAAGGAGACACGTCTCTTAAAATGAAACTAACACTTAACAATCACACACTGCCCAGACTGGCATAAGTAACTGACCTAGGGGTACATTACTCACACAATCTTAATTTCTCTGAACACATTTCAGCCAAAGCATCCAAAATGCGGAAATTGCTTGGCTTCATTCTCCGTAATTTCTATCAAAATAAATCTAAAATCCTTCTTTACAAAGTTTGTGTAAGACTGAATACTGTTCGTTCTTATTTTCCAACCTACGCCTATCTGATATAATAAAGGTGGAAGGAATACAACGAGACTTCGCCCGCAAAATACTTAAGACTGACTCAGTCATTGACTACAGTTTTCGATGCCAAATTTTAGGAATAGCACCCCTTTGGGAGAGAAGGCTTAGGTCTAATTTGATTCTCTACTTCAAACTACTCAAAAACCTTACATATTCAACATGTAAGATAATTCTTGCCCGAGATTCACATGAATACGACTTCGAAACAAAGTATCTACGGTCAAAGTTGAGAAATACAGATCAAAAACTCGGGAAAACTTCTTCCTCACCAAGTATGCAATAATATGGAACAGTCGTCCCCCGAGACTCGCATGGCAGATGAACTACATACGTTTGTGAAACTGCTTGATCCAGCACTCACTCGCACTGATCTTGCACGTACGAACACATCTGCGCCCCACTCAGACATCATAGGCTCTCTCCATGTCTAGACCAAAATGGACTTCAAGTTCAGTTTGCCCTATTTTTCCTACTTTGCAGTTGTATTAATTACTTTTTCCACCCCATTTCTTCACTTGAAGTAGACAGGTAACTCACTGGACCTATCATTACTGTCAAACTAAACTCGGTCGATAAGGGACAATCACTACCACCCTAAAAAGTAAAGAGGACCCGACAATCGGCTGCCTACTACCAGTGGTCTTGAATCTATGGAACCTGTTACCAATCAACTGGTTAAGACAACAGAAAATAACATCAACACCAAGTCACTGTGAGTTCCTTCCTGTTTATCCTGTATTAACTTTTTACTCTTCCGTACACTATGTTGACTAGCAATTAATATTA